GGATCCGTTGCCGGACACGGAAAAAAAAAAAAAAAAAAAAAAAAAAAAAAACTGAGGGGATGAGAGGCTGGACAATATATATTGGTTCAAACATTGCTTAAAAAATCCAGTCAAACTACATTCAATTTTTAAAAACTGAACAAAATTTACTTCAAAAAAATTTCTCAGTGTTTTCTCCTACAGTTCAGAGTGCCTGACTTTTCCAATTTCAAATAAATAATGTGAAAGCAAAAAAATCACTAGCTTTATTATCAGAAGGTATTACTTGAAAATATATTTTAACCAAATAGTATTGATTTAGTTTTGATGTTTTCATACCAATTTCTCTGCAAATTTAACTTTCTGACAAATCAGTTACGAGATCATCATTTAAGTATCAAACTTACATTTCAATGGCTTTAACACTGAGGCAAAACAAGTCCCTCTTGTAATCAAGATTCCTGGGAGTGGATCTGTATACGCAGCCAAGATTGAGTGAGCACCCCATGCAGTACAACGTCTCAAGAAGGCTACAATAAAGAAATGTCACTGCTTTAGGAAACAAAGTGGTAACTCGTTATAACTGTTAAAATCCATAACCACTTAATGTTTCTAAAGTATGTTATTCTGACCATATTAAGTCACATATATATGGGAGGAAAAAGTGATAGGAAGATGTTTACAATACAAATGTAAAGACAATCATCACCAGGTCACACTGCCTTAGGCATCAAATGACAAGGGACATATACAAAAGTGAGCAGAGAGGATACTGAGCTGGTGTTTTTCTGTTTTTCTAGAATGTAAACTCAATTTGGTAGTAAGAAAAAAATATCTAAAGTTGAAAATAAGGTAAAAAGATTCTACATGTCCTTTTAGTGTCACATTGTCCAATGAGCCCACCAAAGGTCATTGCACTCTAGGGCAGCGGTAGGCAATTTCTTTCTGTAATGAACTGGAGAATAAATATTTTAGGCTTTGCAGGCCATATGGTGTTTGTCACAACTACTCACCTCTGCTACTGTAGAACGGAAATAACCACAGGCCATACATAAGTGCATAACCTATGTTCCAATAAAAACATATTCACAAAAAAGGTGTCCCCAGCCCACAGGCCATAGTTCACCAATCCTTGTTCTAGTGGAAGGTAACTTTGTTCGCTTACTAAGAAAAGACTCTCTTAAAATTAAATGATGGGGCCGGCCCGGTGGCGCACTTGGTAGAGTGCGGCACTTGGGAGCGTCGCTGCGCTCCCGACGAGAGTTCGGATCCCATATAGAGACCGGTCCGCTCACTGGTTGAGCACAGTGCGGGCGCAACACCGAGGGTTGCGATCCCATTGCCGGTCGCGGTACGGGCGTGACACTGAGGGTTGCGATCCTGTTACTGGTCACGAAAAAAGACAAAAAGGAAAAAAAAAAAAAATTAAATGATGACTTGCAGAAAGACTGATCCATCATTGTTTCTCCACATAATTGTTCTTTCATTCCAGTTACTTCTCAATTTAGGTTCCACACATGTGAATATACTCTCACCCCATATCTATTCACGTCTTCTTTAAATCTGGTTATCTGGCTTAGAGGCTGGTCAGTTAGCTCAACTGGTTAGAGAGTGGCCTTGTAACACCAAGGTCAAGGGTTTGGAACCCTGTACCTGCCAGATGCCGTCCCCACCCAACCCCCCCCCCAAAAAAAAAAAATTATATATATATATATAAATCCAGCTTAGAATCCAGTGTCTCCCAAAAGCCTTGTCGAATTGACCCACCCAATTTACCATCATATAAATATCTATACTAAAATTACAATCCCAGCACATAGCAAATTGATAACTGGAGATTAAATCTAGTATTGATCACAGTAGTGAAAAATACACTACAAAAACTACAAAAGATTATTATTCAAAAGTTTTGTAACTCCTACTCAGCATGTGAGCCAGTTGCAATCACTATCTATTACTGCTATCAAGCAAAAGGGAGCGATCCAAAACTCAAACAGCATAGTACACATCACATCACTGTTACATACAGATAATGAAACGTTTTTAATTATTGCAGCAATGTATGGAACAAAATGGATCACCACCTGATAAACTATAAGTTCTCACTAGTGATATAATTAGCTAGATTATATGTCACTGATTATATATTAAGCTCTATGGGCTTTTATAAGCCTCTATAAACTTTTTTTTTCCCCAGAAAGCAATCTTCTGACTTTTTTTTTATTGGCACATAATAATTGTACATATTATGGGGTACAGAGTGATATTTGATACTTGTATACAATGTGTGATGATTAAATCAGGATAATTAGCATATCCACTGCCACAAACTCTTATTATTGTTTTGTGCTGAGAATATTTGCATTCCTATCTTCTGGACATTTGAAAATACGTATAAGCTTTTACGTAAGAAATACAAAAGCATCTTAGTAAACCCCAAGCAGGGAACCCCACCTATATCACCAACAGTGAAAAGGCACATCTCCATACTACGTATCAAACCTCACTACGAGGTGGCCTCACACAATAATCAAGACTGTGAACTAACATTAACGCCAAGTGTCATCAGCCAGGAGAGGACCTCTAGCCCCTCTCTCCTTCCTGGAGTTTGGGGGCAGGGCGGGGCAGTTGGTGTGGAGTTGAAAGTTCCCCCATTCTAATCATGCCTTAGTCTTTCTGACCCCTCCCCCACCCCCACTGTGAAGCTACCTTGGAGTCCCCGGGTACCAGTCATCTCATTAGCATTCAAAAGGACACTCCTTATCACTTCAGAGATTCCAATGGTCTTAAGATCCTAAGTCAGGAGCCCAGGACTAAAACTAAATATTATAACAAAAATGCTCCTATCACTGAAGAAATTAAAAGGATTTTAGGAGCTACTATGTATTAAATGTTTGTGTGCCCCAAAAATCCATGTTGAAATCCTAACCCCTAAAGTGATGGTATTAGGAGGTGGGTTCTTTAAGAGAGGATTAGGTTATGAGTTTATGGAGTAACCTTTTTTACTTGAAACATACTTTATTTGAATAGGGCACTCTAGCATTACTAAAAATAAAAATTAAAAAAACAGTATTTTGAAAACACATTAATATATGTAATTATTAATTTTTGTTTAATTGCTTGTGTACCACCTAAACTTATTTCATATATGTCAGTAAGATACATTTCACATTCTGGGCAACAATTATATAAGGCAGGGCCTCCATTCAGTTTGCTGAGAATGCCACTTGCAGCACATGGGTGGCAGCTACAGCAAGATATCTGTCCCCTCAACCCTTGAAGTGGCCACACTGTGCCTGGGATTGCTGAAGCCTCTGTGTTGGTTGCTTCCATCTGGCCCAAGCAGCCTTGTCTGTTTACTTGAATAGGCAGTGTGTGTGATACTAGCATTTTCTCTGTGTGCCATGACATGAAAAAGGTGGGTTGCATTGGTCTAAGGCACCCTCTGAGATTTTATGATACATATCTTTTTCTATTTTTGTTTTCAATTTTCTTCAACACCAAGCCCAAAAACCCACAAAGGGAATGTCAGAGTATGTCTTTAGAAATATAGAAACTCTAACACCTTAGTATCTAAAGACAACCACAACCACTCAAGGATTAATATATGTGGGCTGCAGATGAGCTCAGATGCTTAAGAGTGTGGTGCTCACAACATCAAGGTCAAGGGTTCGATCCCTATTGAACCACCAGCCACCAAAAAAGAAAAAAGAATATACATAAATGCCTGATTTTATACTGATTACCATGAAAACAGTTTTACCCCAAGTAATCAAACTAGTAATGACCTTTTTAAAGATTTTTAATTTAAAAACAAACATTTTCTCAATATACGCATTCACACAGATACAGCCTTACTCACCAACCATTTTCCTTTGCACATTTGGACAGCTTCTGTTTCTTATCAACAGAAACATTACAGGAAACACCTAGAAAGAGAGAAAGTAACAAAATTTATTAATGAGGTTTGCTATAATACTCATGCAGACATTTTGAGAACTTCTAATACAACTTTTATTTGAGAACTCAGAGGACGAGGAAAAATAGGAGCCCAAAGTCACACACACATAACAGTGGTTCAAACTAAATGTACTGGGGTCTTATGGGAAAAGATGGCAGAATAAAAGTTATTTCCTTCCTTTCCCTGAAAACCACCAACATTGACAAAATGAATAAAATTAGAGGGGAAAATTCAATCAAGAGTGAGATTTGGAACCATTACAACCTCAAATCACAGACTACAAAGAATATCTGCCAGACAGTGAAATTGGGATTGAAAACAAAGTGCTAAAAGCCAGTGCATACAACTCCAGATCTCAAAAACAGAGGTCATTTCTCTAAAAGTAATTGAGAGGGTCCTCAGGATCCCAGACGAACACCTTTTACTTGGGCGATGACATGGACAGGGGTCACATCTAGATCCCAGAAGCAACAGGAAACATTTCCAAAGAATACAGGTTTGGACACACTGAAGGCAGGGGTGGGGGATGAAGGGGGATGAAGAAGGGACAACAGACCTACAATAGACAAGCCTCTTGATTTCGCCTCCTCCCTACCTTCACTCCATAAACTCTGCCTCCATCTACCCAGTTGCTCAAATCAGAAACTGGCGTGTCATCCTTTATTCTCCATCTCCCCAACCTGTTCCCCCAGATCCACTTCACTGGTACATCTAGTCAATTCTACCTCACAAATCTCACTTCAGCCCCCAAACCACCAGCACCACCTCTCACCTGGGCTACTGCACCAGTTCCTCACTGACCTCCCCACTTCCACACTTGTTCCTACTTCAATCTTTTCTTCAAAGAAAAAAAACAAGGTCTTATCACTCCCCTGCTTAAACTCCTCACTAGTTAGAATAGATCATTATTCTTTAGAACAGGCTATAAGGCCATAAATTTTCCAGCCCTTTCCTTCCTTCCTAAATCTGATCTTTATTCTACTCTTTGATGGCTTGCTAGCCAGCAAGAGAATCCAAACCCCTGACCTTGGTGTTATAACAGTGTGCTCTAACCAGCTGAGCTAACCGGCCAGCCCATTTTATTCTACTCTTTCACCACACTAGACTCAAGGCCTCTGCACTAACTGCTACATGCCTGGAAAAAGCAAAAAGCATGACCCAAGAATTACACATGCAGCCTATTTGGCATTTGTGTACAAAAACAGAAAAACACTTTCAAGCACTCGAACTTGAAGTTTTCTCAAAGATGGGAGACCACTGATGATTATCAATCAAACAACTCAGGTATGGGAAAGCTATTAATAAGTTTTCTTATGTTAATAAGAGAATTGGAGTTGAGAAATGAATTCATATAAACATTATATTAAGGCTAAATGACCATGTTATGGCTACAGAACAGAACATAAGTATTATAAACCTTGACAAAGGAAAAATTAAACTAACTCAAATTGGGTCAGGAGGGAAATGTAAATGAATCCAAGGTACAATCATGCGCCACCTAATGACATTTTGGTCAACAACAAACGGTGTACATGTTGGTGGTCCCATAAGATTATAAGGGAACTTTAGGTAATATCCTAGTGCAGTAACTCTATTTTTTTTATAAATTTAGTGTAGCCCAAGTATACGGTGTTTATGAAGCCTAAAGTAGCATAATGTCCTAGGCTTTCACATTCACTCACCACTCACTGACTTCCACCACTCAGCAACTTCCAGTGCTGCAAGCTCCATTCATGTTAAGTGCCCTATGTAGAGAAACCATTTATCTTTTATACCATATTTTTACTGTACCTTTTCCATGTTTAGATATACTTACACATGCAGTGCTTATGACTGTGTTACAACTGCCGACAGCATTCAGTACAGTAACATGCTGTACAGGTTTGCAGCCTAGGAGCAATAGACTATGCCACCTAGGTTCATGTAGGCATACTCCATGATGTTCACACAAGGACGAAATCGCCTAACTACCCATTTCTCAGAAAACATCCCTGTAGTTAAGTCACACATGACTATACTGTGAAAACAACAAAATGAGGGAACGGTGGGAAAACAAAGAGGTAACTAATAGAACCAGGATTAAAAGCTAGAACTCCTGCCTTTGTAACCCTTCTACTACATCCTCCTTCCTCTCTAATTTCGATGAGGATTTTTGGTGCTTTTATTCCAAGTTTCCTCTCCTCCCACCCCATAGCACTGAGTTCAGCCAACTCTGTGGTTGTTAACACTTGACACGGTAAAGGCATCCACTCACAGAGCTGATAGGATCTGAGAAATCAATCTTGGCAGGAAGCAGGTAGCTGAAAAGCTTAATCATTTAAATAAGCCATTAACTGCTTGTGCTTTTGGACTCATGTTCATAAAGTCTGTGCCCAGACCTAGCTGCTGAAGTGTTTCACCTATATTTTCCCTTTGTAATGTTATAGTTTCAGGTCTTAAGTCTTTAATCAATTTTGAGTTGATTGTAGTGTATGGCGAGAGGTGTATATCTGGTTTCATTCTCCTGCATATGGATATCCAGTTTTCCCAGCACCACTTGTTGAACATGAGCCTGAAAGCACAAGCAGTAAAAGAAAAAATAAGCAAATGCGACTATATCAAACTAAAAAACTTCTGCTCAGCAAAGGAAACAATGGACAGAGTGAAACAACAACCTACAGAGTGGGAGAAAATTTTTGCTAACTATGCATCCGACAAGGGATTAATATCCATAATATACAAGGAACTCAAGCAATTACACAGTAAAAAAACAAATAACCCAATTAAAAAATGGGCAAAGGAGCTGAATAGACATTTTTCAAAGGAAGACATATAAATGGCCAATAGGTACATGAAAAAATGCTCAACATCACTAGTCATCAGGGAAATGCAAATTAAAACTACACTGAGATACCACCTCACCCCAGTTAGACTGGCTATAATCAAAAGATGGTGAATAACAGATGCTAGTGAGGGTGTGGAGAGAAGGGAGTGCTCCTGCACTGTTGGTGGGACTGTAAATTAGTACAACCACAATGGAAAACAGCATGGAGGTTTCTCAAACAACTACAAACAGATCTACCATATGATCCAGCAATCCCATTTCTGGGTATATACCCAAAGGAATGGAAATCATCACGTTGAAGGGATACCTGCACTCCCATTTTCACTGCAGCTCTGTTTACAATAGCCAAGACATGGAACCAACCTAAATATCCATCGATGGATGACTGGATAAGGAAACTGTGGTATATACATGGAATTCTACTCTGCCATAAAAAAGAATGAAATTCTCCCATTTGCAATAACATGGATGAGACTGGAGAAATATATTGAGTAAAATAAGCAAAGCACAGAGGGATAAATATCGCATATACTCACTCCTATGTGGGAGCTGAGAGAGAAAGAAGGAAAGACCACAGTGGTGCGTTGGACTTGCAGAGCGAGAGAACATTCCTTGAGTTACAAAGTGGAGTGGGGAGGAAAGGGGGAGGGAGAGGGAGGTCGGGATAATTGGGTGGGAAACACGGGGTACAAATCAAATTTGTGGTAATGGGTATGCTGCCAGTATGAATCTGGCCCTCATATTTTGGTCACGAGGGGTGACAATCAGCTTTGCACCTCATGAATATTCATAACCAATAAATAAATAAATAAATAAGCCATGAACAATATTATTTACTAATTAACAGCCCGCTAATTTCTGTGGGGAGTATATGTACTGGCTGCACCCCAAATGCTTACAATGTAGTTGTTCATTTGTTTCTGAGTAATGCTCACGATGCTGATCCAACCGCTGCTCTTCTAGGATGGGAGACCCCAGAAAAGGACCTGTCACTCGTGAGCCCAAGTGCAGGCGTGACCCTGCTCCTCCCCTTTTCCTGGGGCAGCTCACCCTCAGATTTTTCTGCTTTAAAGCCCCTGGCCAACCCCCAAAGAGCCCCCCGCCTGCTCCGAGGCCGCCCTGATGCGGCACACCTGGAAGGAAGGCACCCCCAAGCTCCCCCCGGCCCGAACTGACAGCGCAGCAAAATGCAGTCGGTGTCCTCGCTGTTCACACAGCTCAGCGAGTCGCCCAGCGGCCGCCGGCAGCCCGAGCACAGGAACACCATGGGCCTTTCCTCCGCCGCCGCCGCTTCCACCGCCGCCCTGAGCCGCGCCTTCTCCTCGCAGGCCACCGACGCGTCCCCGGTCATGGAGCTACACATGCTCGTCCACTTCTGCAGCAGCTGGTGGCGACCAGAGTCTTCGGACAGCCGCTTGCCCAATAGAGAGGAGTCACTCCATTTGCCCTTGTTGCCACATGCACAGCTAGTAGTAGAGCAACAATCGGTGGACCAAGAGCCCGCCATGACAGACAAACCGCCCGCGCCACAGGGCGTCACGGGAAAACGCCTCTCCGCATGCGCGGGGCGGGATGATGCGGCAGAGGCCAAGTGGCCTAGGCCTGAAGGGCGGACCCTGAGGGAGGAGGGACGGCAAGGAGCCTCCAGTGCGCATGCTTGCTGTCGGGTTGGGCCAAGCCTGGTAGTCACTGCGCCTGCGTCAGGTTTTCCTTCCTACGGGAGTCGGGGCGGCTACGGAGTCCGGGCAGTATGGCTGGGCGGTTTGTCTACTTAAGAAGGTTTGAGGCGCCGGCCGGTGGCTCACTTGGGGTAGTGTGGTGCTGAGAACACCAAGGCCATGGGTTCGGATCCCATATAGGGATGGCCGGTTAGCTCACTGGCTGAGCGTGGTGCTGACAACACCAAGTCAAGGGTTAAGATCCCCTTACCGGTCACAAAAAAAAAAAAAAAAAAAGGGTTGGGAGGGAAAGGCGGCGTCGTTAAGAAAGATATGGGCACAAGGAGCCAGCCGGAATAGCTCAGTTGGGAGAGGTTAGACTGAAGAAAGTTATGGGCTCAAAATTAAATTACCAACCCCTCACCTTGCCCTTCACAATGGTTAGTGACACTGAATATGCCGCCGCACACCCCCCAGACAGAGGAAGTGGGAGCGCACTCCTGATTTCTACAATCCCTCCCTCCCGCATTCCTGATTTCTATGGACTTGTCCCTGGAGAGATGATGCTACAACTCCCTGAAACTTTAGCATGCCTTAGAATCACCTGGGGAGCTGGTTAAACAGATTGCCGGGTGCCACCTTCACAGACTCTGGGTCAGTGGGCTGGGGTTTAGCCGGAGGTTTTGCGTTTCTAATAAGCTGCGAGGCCTACCGATGCTGTCAATATTAGTAACCAAACTTCTATTTTTATTTTTAGTTTTTAATTGTAAACTGACAAATTATAGTTGTATAGGCAGCTCCACTTTGGATTGCTACTGCTGTAGTTTGTCAACTCCTGGGGGCCTATTTTCCTTGAGATGGAGAAAGCAGGGGTGTTTGGGGAGCCACTGCCTCGCGCTGGAACCCTGGGAAAGGGCTCCAGATCACTCAGACTAGCGCTGCACGGAAAAGGTTGAAGCAGGTGTGGGCTGCAGCAGTGCTGCTAGAAAACGAGAAAGTGTCTCTGCTGTCCAGATCAAGGAGCCATTCGCCCTTGCCAGGAGTGAGCATCTGGTCAGGATGGTAAGGACGCATTTCCTCAGCTACCCCAGAAAGCCAGCCTCTGAGTTTAAAACATCACAGGTCAGGGGCCAGCCCAGTGGCGCACTCAGTAGAGTGCGGCGCTTGGGAGCGCGGTGGCGCTCCCGCCGAGGGTTCAGATCCCATATAGAGACCAGTCCGCTCACTGGTTGAGCGCGGTGCGGGCACGACACCAAGGGTTGCGATCCCGTTACCAGTCACGTAAAAGGACAAAAAGGAAAAAAAAAAAATCACAGGTCAGAAGGGAAGCTGTTGTGGAACCGACTGGCCACACTACAGAGGACAAAAAGGGAAAAAAAAAAAAATCACAGGTCAGAAGGGAAGCTGTTGTGGAACCGACTGGCCACACTACAGACAACCTGGCGGCATATCTGGAAAGAAAGCTACTCCCAAGGACCTGCATCTGTTCATAATAGGCTTTGGAAGTTGCCCAAGTCACTGCCCACTTTGCTTGGTTAGATAAACTATTTGCATAAAATTTGCTTCCAGTTTTAGTACCTCTGGCCACTAGTAAATAGCACAAGCTTTGGAGTCCTAGGCTGACCTACCTCTCCCTCCACGAGGAAGTAACTGTAGAAAACCGTGGAAAGGCTGTTTGCCTTCCCTGTGTCTGATTCTTCATGGATTAAATGGATGTTCTGCACCAGGTTACTGTGAGCATCAAGTGATAGAAAATGCATGAAAATACTTTTGTTAACTGTGTTGCACCAGGCCCATGTGAATTAGCTTCCAACTGGAAGAAAATGCTTCACGTATTTCAGGGTTTTTTTTTTTTTTTTTCACCCATAAAATTCCTTTCCATCCTTTCACTTCTTTTGGGGAGTCAAGCCTGACCTTCCTGGACTGTTGTTTTCAAGCCCAATATTTTCTGGTATAATGTTGATACAATCTGCATGACGTCTTTAAGTATGTGGGTAGTCATTTTGGGATTCAAGGTAAAATCTCTTTGCCTCAGAGTTTGGTTTCCTGCTGCCAACACTTAAATCGTGTGGTGGGATGTCCCAGTAAAGAAGGGACACAAAGCAGGGCTACATGATGACATTCAGGGGCCCAGACACTTTTGCCTTGGAGGGCCTTTTCCTCCATAAAAATTTATAAAAGTTATATTTCACACTTGTATTGCTATAAAGATAAATATACTAAGATTATATAGTAAAACTTTTTTTTAACCTAAGAGTTTATTTTTTTTTTAATTTAAAAAAAATTAAAACATTGTCATGGGCCCTTAAAAATATCATGGGCCCTAGGCACTATGCCTCTTGTGCCTCACAGAGAAGTCAGCCCCAATGCAAAATAAACTCCTATACAGGCACAAGCATGTTTGTATTATTGAGTATAAAACACTTAGGGAGTCACAAAATCATATTTTATGTGGGAACAAATTGAGATGCTTGAGTAAGATGACCTTGGACTGGGTAGCTTATAGCTGCCTCCTGAACAGCCATTCCCACCTTTCCTCCTAGTTATCCAACTAGGAGATTTGGATAAGGTGAATTCAACTCCACCACCATCACCATCAATTCCAGGAATGGGTACCTAGAGGTTTAGACCAATCAAGACAACCCATCTGTCTTCTATAGTGATTTGTGCAAGGACGAGCCTACCCCAGGCTTAAGCTGGTCAGTGCGTGGTGCTCCCCTGGCAATGGGGATTGGCTCAGAATAACAGCTTGACCTAAGGTGTCCAATTTTGTCCAGTCAGAGTAAATCTCAGGACTCTTGTTTAGTGGGTGAGGGAAGAAATGTCATCTTTGTTCACTAGATATGAACAAGGAAGCACTCACCCAGGTTGCTTTAGGCATCTTGTAAACATGGGGAAGGACAGAGCTGAGAATCACAGAGAAACTGATGTTAAATAAAAATTGTAGAAAGTCATTGTTTTGTGTTCCATTCTCTTCGTCCTCACATGGATTTGTCACCTCTCTCCCCTGGGTGATGGAGACACAAAGGATTACTCAAAGCCCATTTCTTCTGAGTAGTGAGACACCCCAAAGGGGTTAATTTCCTGGAACCCTCAAAAGAGAGGCATTCCTCCTCGGGAAATTAACACTGGACTGGGGTTCTGTCTCAGTATTTATTCTCCAGGCCAGAAAGTTACAGAAAAGGAACATAAGTGGAGTTATGGCTAAGTATAGTTTAACAATAGAGGCTGGTAACATCTGTGAAATAACAAAGTGACATTTCATAATGCAATTTGCAAAAGGTTAAGTCAATTCACCAACAAAAGCTTGTTCTTAGCAAATACTGTCTTTTCCTACAGCAGTTTCCTCAGTACTTTTACATAACAATAAAGCAACTTTAGGTTAACCTGCTCCAAGGATGTCTGTCCTTGAGCCCGCAGTTTTGCTGTATTACAATTCTTTATCTACTTCAGAGACTTTAGCCTGCGGAAATTTTCCTGTCTTTTGCAAGCTTAACATTTCTATATGTAATTTTAAAAAGTTAGGTTATACCTGAAACTACAGGGCTTTGGAAACTAGGCCCTGTGAAATACAGTTGCTTTGTAAATGTTAGTATACTCCACAGTTTTTGCTGTAGGCCCCAACAGACCAGACTAAAAATCAAAATGGAGTCACCCATGCTATAGTTCCACCACACCCAAACCAAGTTGTTGTCTGACCTTCCAAGAAATCAGGAGACAATTTCCCAAACAGGCCAGTTTAAGTCCTCAATTGGCAAGATAATGAAGTTCCCTCTGCTTTAATCTGTACATAAAAGAGATAGCCTGAAGTAGTAACCCGAGGTTCAGGAATGAGTGATTTTCCTGTGTTCTGTACCCTATCCCAGCCTTACAAAAAAAAGTGACTGTTTTTCACTTTTGCTTTCTTTAGCCCTTCTCTGTGTACAAAATCCAACCTCTTTTGCTCAACTCATTGGAACACTTATTCTATGTTATGGAATAAAGTGTTGCCCAATTCTAAAATTGCAATAAAGCCAATTGAGATCTTTATTTTTTATTATTATTATTTTTTTTTTATAAAAGATGACCAGTAAGGGGATCCTAACCCTTGACTTGGTGTTGTCAGCACCACGCTCAGCCAGTGAGCTAACCAGCCATCCCTATATGGGATCTGAACCCATGGCCTTGGTGTTATCAGCACCACACTCACCCGAGTGAGCCATGGGACGGCCCCAATTGAGATCTTTATTTTTTTTTTATTTTTTTTATTTTTTTAAAGATGACCGGTAAGGGTATCTTAACCCTCGACTTGGTGTTGTCAGCACCACGCTCAGCCAGTGAGCTAACCAGCCATCCCTATATGGGATCTGAACCCGTGGCCTTGGTGTTATCAGCACCTCACTCTACCGAGTGAGCCACAGGCCGGCCCCCCAATTGAGATCTTTAAACTAAATTTGTTGTAATTTTGTTCTCTGACACAGAGCACCCGACCTCTTGACTCTTTCAGTTACGTGAGCTAACCAATTCTTTTTATTATGGAAGCTAGTTTGAACTGTTGTTTGTTTTTACTAGCAATTGAAAACCTATGTAACAATCTGTAACAGTATGTTAAAAGTTTTGACTGAAACTCCAAGATAAGATGAAAATGAGATACAAAAGTATTAGTGAAACAGATTGTCCTCCTCCCCTAGAGGAATCTTTGGAGTAGATATTGGAGAACTAATCCCCTCCTGCTTTTAAACCTCCTCCNGTTCTCTGACACAGAGCACCCGACCTCTTGACTCTTTCAGTTACGTGAGCTAACCAATTCTGTTTATTATGGAAGCTAGTTTGAACTGTTGTTTGTTTTTACTAGCAATTGAAAACCTATGTAACAATCTGTAACAGTATATTAAAAGTTTTGACTGAAACTCCAAGATAAGATGAAAATGAGATACAAAAGTATTAGTGAAACAGATTGTCCTCCTCCCCTAGAGGAATCTTTGGAGTAGATATTGGAGAACTAATCCCCTCCTGCTTTTAAACCTCCTCCCACACTGTGAGGATATAAAAGACTGGAGAAAATGGTGAAAGAGATGACTTTGTAAGAAGGATTTCTTTGGAGATGGGCTGAGTTGTGAGTTTCACTCCTTCTCCCCAATAGAGAAAGTGGAGGATATCTGTCTCCTCGCCTCAATTTGACTGCAAGGAAACTTAGAAGTAGGGCTGGCCAGTTGGCTCAGTTGGTTAGAACACAGTGTTATAACAGCAAAGTCAAGGGTTTGGATCCCTGTACCAGCCATCCCCATATTGGCCAGCTGCCAAAAGAAAAAGAAACTTAGAGGAAGCACTTACAGAGCCTGTGGCTTCCCAGGCATTTGGGGACACAGTGGCCAGCAGGAGTCAGGCTGTTGAGCTGTTTTAGTGGCATAACAAAGGTGAGCCGGTTAGGTTGTCATCCAGATTTGAACTATGCTGGTGAGGGTACCTGGAATCTTAAGTTCTGCCCAGGGAGATAACCTGGAAGGGTGAAGGCTCTCCAGCAGTGAGTTCAAGTGTGAACACGGTCCCTGGAGAACCAGGGCTGAGAAAGCATCAGCCAAGGTGAGACTTTCCTGGTCTTGGGCATGCAGCTGGGGGTGGAAGGTGCAGGGTGTTTCCCAGGAACTGAGAGAGAGTTGGTTTGAACCATGACCAAGGCCTGAGGGTGAAAACCAAGTTACGACAGAACAGGTTCAAGTGAAAACTGTCCAATCTCCTTCCCTGCTTCAGCCTAGGCAGGAATGGAAAGGTGGGTGAGGTGAGAAAGAGCAAGCCAGCCACGCCTCTTCCCCTTACCTGGGGCAGGAGGAAAACTATTCTTATCCTGGAGTGAAGATTGCAATGTTCATTAATATCTTCGACTGGACACCTTCATGTCTTCATTGAGATTCAATGGCTGCAGAATTGTCTACTCTCGGGCTTGCCGGTTAGCTCACTTGGGAGAGCGTGGTGCTGGTAACACCAAGGTCACAGGTTCGGATTCACATACTGCCAAAAACAAACAAACAAAGAATTGTCCACTCCCTAAGAGAAGGGGGCAGAACACAGAAAGCACACTCAAATTCCGATAATATAGGGAGGGTTTCTTACAAAATGTCAAATAACAAAGGTGTAGACAGCACATAGGAGAGAACTGTGAGGAATAGTGCAAAAATCTGGGTTAGCAGCCTTGGAGCCGACACCACTCCGCCCTGGACGCATAGGGATGCCACTAGAAGCCCAAAGGAAAGAGAGTTGGGAAGGAGACCACCTTGAGAGGATCACCTTTCTCATTCATTGCAGCCAGCTGAGCTGACCTCACAGGGAGGGAGGCAGGAGACTAAATTCCCTCACCTCACACTCTTCCTTCTCTCCAGGTAATCTAATTTAATATCAATGCCTAGTACTAGAGAAGTACTAGGGGAGAGAGAGAATATAACTAGGGAAAGAAGGAATAGTAGAAAGGGGAGAAGAAATGAATGAGATCTTGAACATTTTGCTGGAAGAATTTGGCTTTTTAAAAGTGCTCTGGCGGGCCGGCCTGTGGCTCACTCGGTAGAGTGCGGTGCTGATAACACCAAGGCCACAGGTTC